ACAGAAGTAAAAAACTTGTCTGAATCCATTGTTTTTGAGAGAATAAAACCATTTTTTTATTGGGAAAAACACACATAACTTGGAGAAACTACTCTTGTCTTGTCAACTATCCCCTTACTAAAAGGTTTTTTCGTTCTCCCAAAACAACTACGTCTGAGCATCGTGAAATTCTTCGTATTGTTCACTTCTGGATAGTTGGACAAAATCGTTCAGAAAACTGTCTCATGCTGCACCTTGGTATGTCCTTAGCAAAAAAACAACGTTTTTTCTCAAGATTATGTAACATCGTTGTATTTGAGCAGGTAACACTATAGAAGATGATCCAGTTCGGCCAAAGTGAAAAATTCTTAAGGAAATGAGAAGGAGATCAAAAATGTGGGAACAATTAGGAACAGAAGTCATTACGGCAGGTAAGTCTACTGGCGTATGACTCTAAGTATCGCTCAATGGTTGAACATCTGGCCGGTATGCAGCATTCCCCCTCTCGTCGCTTTCTTTTCTCTGTTCTATCGCGTGGTGGCGACGATGAGTTAATTAAGCCCATAGATTTTCCAAATAAAAGGTACTAAGTTATCATGTGAGTAAAAGACAATACTTGTCGGACGAATAAAGTTGTTCCTTTTCAATGAGAAAACGATCTGTTTTCCGTCTGCCCGCAGGCTACCTTCAATAGGGTGGTTTTCTTTTTCATGCCTGTAAAAACAAACTGTTTTTCCAGTGAAAATGGGTCGGTTTTCCCTACAAAACTATAAATTTCCACGCAAACAAATTTTTTTAGTAGCTAATCTTAGATGCACGCTAAGTAAAAATCCAACGAGCGATCTCTTACTCTTAGTAGCACCCTCACCAGCAAATATCATAAACTTTATTGTGTTCAAGATTCTTTTCATAGATAAAAGTTTATTAAGGGCAATTTGATGAAAAGCACTGTGTGGACAATATTAGAATGTAATGAAACAAATTCATTTTGCTTCGGGTAAAAGCAAAACTATTTGTATTACACTAGAAACGCCCGTGCTGAGGTCAGAAAAGTGATGGAACAGAACTTCAGCTGGAGGAAGTACCTGTTGGAGCAGGACACTTAGAAATGTTTGAATATCAGTCTAAGTGCGTCTCTTTATGAGAGGCTACCCACGTTCTCTCTCTCTACACAACACAGAAAGTTAATTGATTATCTCTACCTAAATGGAAAGGAACCGCTGACTTTCGCTTCAGCAGAAGGAACTCAAAAAAGCTAGAGAATCACGTTTCCTCCCGTATGGCTTGCGAACAATTCAGCCCTGACTTTCTTAGTCAGATATGTTCCTGCTAACCCCGCCCAAACACCTTATGGCAAGTGCCAGTGGAGGTGGAGAAGTGTGTCATACTAACAGTTGGAAGACGGAGAACCTACATTCCCCCCTCGCCACAACCTTCATCTTGTACCAAAAAAAAGAGAAACAGTCATTATACAAAAAAGAGAAAGAGAGAGCACTTCATTGTCACACTCCAACTATGTATCTCTTGTACATGCTCTTGTTGGTCTGTGCTAAGACACTTGCCTTACCTCATCAACAAACCAAAACGCAAGAGCCTATTTCACCCAAATACAAGCAAGCGCAACGGAATGGTCAATGTGTCGTGAGCTACAAGGGAAAATTGTGGTCCGAAGGACGACTCGTACAAGTCGCCACGAAAGTCTATCGAGTAGAAAATTGTTCACTCGAACGAACCGTTCACTCGTGTGACCCTGATCTTCTTCGCATGCTCGACTTCGTTTGTAAGTCCATCAAACGATACAACAAAACGGGCAAACATCCGGCTGTCCTCTCCACGATTACAACGTCCGTTAGTTTGCCTGCCGCCTCTGTTCTCCTTGCACGAACCAAACGGGAGAGTGCTCCTGCTCCTACGCCTCGACCGCCTGCACGCCAAATAACTGAATCGTGTTGTGAAACTTTCTGTACGATAACTGAGCTGAGTAGATATTGTCCTTGAATTCTTGTTTTCTTGTACTTCTAGGAAAATTATTTAATTTGTTTTGCTACTTTCTAATGGGTTACAGAGCAAGTCTTCACGTTCCTAAATAAATCTTCTATTTTCATCATTTACAGTAAAAGATCGTTAACATTTGTTTCTGGGAGAGAGAGAGAGAGAGGAGAGACCAAACACATTTTTTTTGGGTACATTTGGCGGACAAAACATATTGAACTGAGTTCTATTTTGTCATAAATGGTCCAGCAGAACGATTTCATTTGTTCTATCGTGTGCCTTCGATGTTTAAACTATAGAGTCGTTTCCACTCATATACATGCTCTGTGGGTAATATATCACAAAGCTGCGAAGTTTGTTTGAGCAATTTTTTCATTTAGCATGAGTGATTATGGCATCAATAATAATCTCCGAAAAAAAAGATCACTACCCAACCCATTTTATGATGGAATTTTTTTTTTCTTTTTTTTAAGTTTTAACGAAAATAGTCCCAATTAAGGGTGTTGTAGAAGTCATTTTTAACTTTGAAGAGGGTTATATATTTCTTATTAACGTATCAGGATATGTAAATCAAAACGTAGTTCTCGTGAGTGCAAAAAATGTAAAAGAAATGATTTTTGCCATTTCTATAGATCTACTCGTGGGCTTTATGCCTGCATGTCCCTTTTCTGAATATCACTCAATTTCGATTTTCAAAAGCTATTTTTCTGACGCCAATAAGCGGACCGATTTTTTGTTTTCTTTCTCTCACGAGCTACCGGAATATCGTAGACACAAGTGACAGCTAGCAAATCTGTAAAGCGTCTCATTCTCCACATGCTTGCATTTTTTTCTACCTCTCTCAAAAAAATCTCTATTTAGCAAGAAACACTCTAAGGAGCCGAATGAACATATGAAACAAAGTCTAACACTGTTTTGTCTGACCTTTCTGCAATTTTCCAAATCAAGAATAGATTTTTTCGAGAGAGGTAGAAAAAAATGCAGGCATGTGGAGAATGAGACGCTTTACAGATTTGCTAGCTGTCACTCGTGTTTACGATATTCGCGTAGCTCGTGAGAGAAATAAAACAAAAAAGCGGTCCGTTTAATGGCGTCAGAAAAATAGCTTTTTCTGACTGATATTCAGAAGAGAAACATGCAGGCATAAAGCCCACGAGTAGATCTATCGAAACGAGATTTTTAATTTTTTTTACATTTTTTACACTCGGCTTCCATTTTCGTATCCTTATACGCTAATAAGGAAGATATAAAACTGTTCTTTTAAGTTAATAGAGGAAAAGAAAAAGAATATCATTGTATGTCTACCCTAAACGAATCCAAGATAGAATTCTAGAAAGTTTTTGGATATTACTGCCAGTAATATGTAAATCATGAAAACTTTTAAAGTGAGTTGGAAGAGTAAGAATGAAGTTACGGACAAGTCGTCTAGGAAAAAGAGTTTCTGGTCGCACAGTCGGTGCCCGCTCAGACTGTGAGCAGCAGTTAATGACCGACGTACACTATTACTTCAGATTCTTTGCACAAAGACAATAGTTTTCTATTGTTTGTGAGATATATTGGATCACACATAAGGACATGAGAGGTTCGCCTACAGCTACATCTGACCTTTCGACTGGGCAGTTTAATGCCTGCGTGCCCAGCCAATACAACAAAAATCACCAATGCGACATTAGCACAAAGCTTTTACACAGACAATTGAAAAGTCAGATGTAGCTGTCAGACGAATCCCTTATCCCTATGTGTGTGCTCCTATCTCACAAACGATTTGTCCGAACAACAGGAAACTATGTCTTTGTTATAAATGATGGGAAAATGGCTCTTGAGGAAAAAATTTCAGTTTTTTCTGACGGTTATATCCATGATCAGGTGCGCTCGTACGGCGACCTCAGTAGGATAAAAAATCGAAAATTTGGCACCATCCAAAAATTGTAACGCCGGTTACGGAGCACTTACCAGAAAAGGACTCCAACAGACCGATCGCTTTTGAGCTGGAAGATAGTGGATAATAGGTACTTTAGTATGCTGATCACGAATATCGTATCATTTGGGCTGCTAGGGACAGCAGCTTTTTGCCAAAAGATTTGTGACTCAAAAACTGGTAACAGAAAAATTCCCAACTTGTCCTCTCGAAAAATCTTTCTAAAACAGTCGAGAAAGTTGTCAAAATATATTTCTTGTAGGTTTCTCGACACGCCCTTTCATCTGGACAGATGAAGAAAAAGTTTTCTGGTGTGGAAAATCGGTATTCCAGGGCCGAAATCCAAAGTTCCTAGCAGCCAAAATGAATACCATATTCGGAATCAGCGTATTAAACAACGTCAAACTACTGCTGAAAAGAAAAACGAGAATGAAAAAAAATAAAAATTAACTTTCTTTCGAAACAATCTTTTTCTGCACGAACAATATATGCTCGATGAAAATAAACATCAGAATGATGCTCATCAAGTCCGACAACTCCCGAATTTCGAGGCACCTTGAGATGGCCAGACTCGAAAAACCTCGAAAAGGTGCATCTTCAGAAAAGGCCCGTATCACCTAAGTGGAGTGTGCTAAAATTCTGTGGGTGGTCTTATTCAAAAGAGAACACTTCAGTCTATCACGTGTATTCCTCGAAAGTTCAAATTCAAAAATTGAAGTTCCCTAAAACACGATATCTTTTAAACACCTCCTGGAAAAGTACCTGAAAAGCAGGCCCAAAACGAACTTTTTTTATGTCGTAGGCACAAACAATGAAAACCTCATCCACCGTTGTGGGGCTAGAAGGTTAACACTTAGGGATCATTCTATTTTGGAATGGATAATAGGTCCCTTAGAGGAAAAAAAACTCGAATTACCACTACATGAGAAAAGTGTAAGGTTTTGAGAGGCTTTTCATCTTTAAAATCATTTCAGTTTTAAAGCATTTTTCAACGAAGAAATTCGATGGCAAACTGAGATCAGCATACATCTTTCATCGCACGCGGAAGTGCAAAAAAAAAAGAGAATAAAGCAGCTTTGCTTTTTTCATTCACCATAGCCGAGTTCCTGCAATGCAGAAGGGCGACAGTCTTTTGGAGATAGAGTGAAAGAGAAGCTAGGCTGGCTTCAATGTGGTCCACTTATTATTGATGCGTCCTGTTATGACAGACGTAAAAAGATAGATGAGAATGCAAAACTAACGATGACTGTCTCTCCATTTTTAAATGAATAATATCAGAATCCTGATGAGTGTCAATGGCAGAAGGGAAATATCACCACAACAATATTTCGTCTCCAGCCTGCTGGCTGGGAACTCGTTACTGAAGCTGGAAAAAAAGAGTGAAATTCATCATAGCTGGTGGTGAAATTCATTCCAATACGTCTATAAAAGTAGTTGTTCTTTTCATATGGATTTCAACACAGATGAATTCTTATGCTCCCGGAATGTACTACTGAAAAACTATTGAGCATTTACATACGGGCATAAACCCACAGCGGTTATGTCGAAAAACAACGTGATATGTCAAGAAGAGCAGGTTCCCATTCCAGTTCATACTAATCTGTTTCCTTGAATTTAAAAAGTTACGGTTTCTTCTAAGCCCATTAGTAAAAATACCCACTATTTGCCTTGTGTCTCAGTCGAAAAAAAGTTCGAGTTTTCGAAAAAAAAGAATGAATGGAAATCGTTTCATCCAAAACTTCCCAGATTTTTGACCTTCGTTTTTTTAATTTTACCTTTATAGCTACTTTCCAGGTTTTAGAGTTTTATGAACGTTTTACGAACCTCGAAAGGCCTGAAGTATAAAAATGGGAAAGAATTTCTTGAACTTTTCATGTGTATAGAACTTTATCAATTTTTTATCCTAAATACTCTTGTCGATAAACAGTACTCCATAACTCCTCCTTAGAAAACTATGTTTTCCCTACAACGATTTGTTTTTCGTGCTTGAGTCTTATGGGATCTCAGCAGGGTGAAAAAGTATAACAGTTTTTTCATTATAATTTTAATGCCGATTAGAAGCTTCAGAATCATGCTGATTTCATAGGGTGGACATTACCCGAGATGTTTGTCCTAAGAGACGAGATTGTATAAAAGTTCTGAGAAAATCCCTGGACGTAAGTGCTAGACATTCTGCTCCCACTCCCGAGTGTGTTTTTTGACTTTGTTAGAGCGAAAAATATTAAGTTATGCTCAAAATCGAAAAGGCCCTAATAAAGTTGGATTTTTAGGGTTGATTCAACCCTTATTAGACGGTGGTAAGTTGATTTTTAAGGATTGAAAAGTATATTTCATTTCTTATTTTATTTTTATTTTAATACCTATTTTTGTTATTAGTTTTATAAGTTTAATATTAACTTATGTTTTTTTGTTATATTTTGTTAATGTTCATAATAATAGGATTTTATTTATACTTTTGATTAGTTCTCTTATGGTTTATATTATTTTTTCTATGGGATGGGTTAGTGTTAGTTCTTATAGAGTTTTAGGGAGATTACGTAGTTCTTCTCAATTAGTAGCTTATGAAATTGTAATATTTCTTGCAATTTTATTGTTAGTTATTTATAATAATTCTTGATCTTTTGTTGGTATTGTTTTTAATAGGGTTTATTTGTTTGATGTATTTATTATTTGGTTAATGATTATTTTAGTTGAAACTAATCGTAGTCCTTTTGATTTTGCTGAAGGGGAAAGTGAGTCAGTTTCTGGTTTTAATATTGAGTATGGTGCTGTTTTTTTTGCTTTTATTTTTATTTCTGAGTATGGTATAATTATTGTATTTTCTTGGCTTACAAGGGTTTTTTTCATATATAACTTTTTATTTATGTTAGTGGTCTTTTATGTTATTATAGTTCGTGGGTTTATTCCTCGTAGTCGTTATGATATTTTAATAAATGTTTGTTGAAAATTTTTATTTATATTACTAAGTATTTTATTTTTAAAGGTTTTTGTTTTGTAATGTGATTAAATAAGAATATTTATTTGGTTAAGATATTAAATTCATTTTTGTCTGATCTTGCAAGTCCTATTAATTTGTTGTGATTTTGGAACTTTGGTTTTATGTTAGGTATAGCTATAGTTATTCAAGTTATTAGAGACCCCTGAACTACTGTAAAGCAGGAACGGCAGTACAGTTACTGGCAAGAGAGCGCAAAAGAGAAAGGGAAGAAGATAACAGCTTCCTTACTAGCCGTCCATTTTCTTCCCTATTTAAGATAAAGGACGACAGAACGGAGAAGAAAAATGCCTGGATGAGGCAGAATAGAACAAAGGATGGCCTTCAACAGTAATCGGTCACTTTCCCACTAGCAGACAGTAGTAGTTCCTGTGTTTTTGTGTCTGCTATCTTGCCCGTCATTCCTTTATCTCTACTTACTTAGATGTCTTGAACTATGGATTTTATTCAGAAATGTTCAAAATTTCCAACAGGGAAGAAAGTGTGTTTCAGATTGAAGAATAAATCCACTTTTTTGTTTTTCACGCCAAAGTACATATCATGAGTACGAGTATCAATTTTGTTCAGAAAAAAACCAGCGATAAGAAGCACAAAGTTCTTTCCGCTACAGTCGAATATTTTTGCTCAAACTCGCTTTAGGAATGAGGAATAAAACTATATCATCTCTAACATTATTTTTACCTTCAGATACCAGCTGTAATGGACAGCGATTATGATACGTACATGCTAATGGACTGAGAGCCATCAGCAATTCCTCGACCGCCGAAAAACGAACTCTACTATCTTTATGGTGGTGACCCGCATAAAGAGGTGGTGGACTCACTCGGTTTTTCCGTTGACAAAGGAGTCATCGACGATGCCTTTCGACGAACAAACTACGACATGGATCGTACAATTGAACTCCTTCAACAAGAACTGCCTGATTTTGACGATGAAGGCGAACAAACATTTCCTCCCAAGTAGGCGAACAGCCTCTTCCTCCCGTCGAAGCCGAACAACCAGGTGTGCCCGAACCAGACGAAGGCAAGGCGTTGAATCGAGGCATGGTAATCAAGATTGCCGCTATTGAGGTTTCGGAAGCTGTTCGAAAACAACAGAAACAGAAACTGTCCCAGGTTAGTTCACTCTCAATAACAGGCGTAAATTATTTCTTTGAAACAGTGTCCGAAAATTCAGGTATTACAGCCGTTCAGTCTTGCTTTCTTCCCGTTATTTTTTCATTGTATTACGTAAAACTTCCTAGCATAAAAAGATCCGACTACTCTTTTTGTACAAAAAGACCTTGTCTGTTGAATAAAACCCATAATTTTTTTCCAAAACTATCTCGCTTTCAAAGTTTCTAGAGCCTTTTTTAAATAAAATGAGCTAGCATGAGGGAATCAGCAGGATTTTTATCCGAAACTACCTGGGTCGATAGTAAAAAGATGTCTTTTTAAGCGAATGGGTTTGTGCAATAGGAGAAATCCATATTTTTATACAAAACTACCTCGCCTCAGAAATTTTTTCAATACTCTTCTGATAGAATAGAATTTTGTCTGCGGTGATTATCTAGCTTTATGCAAAACTACTTAATCAGTAACTAAAATCATGACTTAATATGACACAAAAGACACTTTTTGAGTGGTTTAGCGATCGATTTTTAAAAAAAATCTTATTTATATAATAAAAGAAAGTATTCTTGCAAAAGAGAGGCGTCTCTGAAGGGAAAATCCGTAATTTTGTTCAAAACTAGGTTTCTCAATTGGCAAAACAAAGTAGTAAAACTCTAGTTTATTCACTCGGACTCGAACAACGCGAGGAAGTAAAAACGATTCATAAGTTTCTTGTCTTTCTGAAAATATTTTTATAAGTCTGTTAAAACAAATAGATCTTCTTTGAGGGAAAAAACCAATAGTTTTATGCAAATTTCGTCGCTTATGAAGTGAAACAAAGTCTTTCTTTACACAACGGCTACATCTGTGGAGATTAGTTAGAGTTTCATACAAACCTCCGTAGCTTAAGAACTTGAAGCAGTAGTTTCTTAATCGAGTCACAAGAAGACTTGTCAAAACTTCTTACCTAGGTATATTTGCACCAAAACTCTTGCTAGACCTCTCAAATGAAGTCCTTTTGTACGAAAAGACTTGACTTCATGAACGCGATATTTTTGCATAAAAGTGTTCATTTTCTCCTCAGGTGCTGTCCGATGTGTGCCACGATACTTTCTTTTTAGTTCCTCAGCGACAACATTTTGCACTAACTGAAGCTTTTCCTCTCAAATGAGGTTCTTCTATCCAAGGGACTTGCTAAAACTTTGTTATCTAGAAAGCTATGCTTACTTTCATTTTTCTCATTTCAGGCGAAGTTCTCCCCTCAAAAAATGGATCTTCACGAGGCAGCTTTAGCTCGGCTCAAAACGGAGGCGACTTCTCACTGGCAAACGGTCTTCATCATGAAACTGTGCACACAAAAAAAACGAAGAGAAAATGCCGAAAGTGAGTAAGGACAGGTGCGCCTAAGAAGCCTTTTTGGGCCCTCTTGATTTTTGAAAGAAATTGATTAAGTTTTCTATCCAGTTTTGTAGAT